AAACCTTAGTGTCTGATTTTGCAATCTACTCGTTTCCATAACTTGAATAAGAGAAATATTGCTACGTTCTTGCCCTCCCCCGACTCATCAATCAAACACATTCGGTTAGCTCGGGACCGGCTAAACCCTTGAAAGGCGAAGAAAATTTCCACTAGACTTTTTCTACCCTTTGAAGGTTTGTATGAATAACTTCATTATGAATAGCTAGAAAACTTTTGAAGACCTGCTGCTATTTAAAGCTTTCCTCGTTGAATTAGAAGAAATTGAACAATTTCTGCAAAAATGGAGATATCTGGGCCTCTAAGTTCAGAGTCTGGCGTAAGTACTGTTCGACCCTAATCTTGTTGGGGTCGGAAATTCCATCGCCCCCATCCTTGCCTCCGCCACGAATCTGGGATGATGCGATGCCACCACCGTCGTCCAAAAGTGCGAAATCTTAAACACAACACACACCAAAAGTGTCAGCTTGATGATTTTGTGGTCGTGATTTCTACAAACCTACATTAGGCCAAGTTTTGGTGAACAAGGGAATTGTGAATGAAAAGGCAGAATTTTTGTTTTAGATAAATCACAGGCCGTAGTGCCATTTCCATGAATGTGGACGACAGCCCCTAAATTCGTCGAGGGATCCTCCTCAAAGGACGACCTATCGGGGGCCCTTTAAAGTAGTTGTCCTACAATGCCTGCGAATTCTCAGTCCTAGCGGTGGAATATCGGAAAAATTCATGAGTTTCGTTCATTCGCGCCTCGAAATTTCCATTTGCAGCCGGACACAGTTTCACATCAGGGACCTCGACGTTATTTTCCGACTATGGCCGGTAGGGTTACGCGTGATTTTGGGAAGCTGAAACTGCGAATGACTTTTAAAACTTTCTGGTTGCATTGCTGGATGGGTGCAGAATGGGCGCCCACAGACAGCCACTTCTGCCTGAGAAACTGCTGGATGCACAGTGATGAGTGATCTGACCAGGCGCAGGGAGACCACAGTTAACAATCCTTCGTTTCGCTCGAGCCGTCTATGGTGATCAGATGAAAAAACTGCTGCGGAAAGACGCTTCTGGTGGAGAGTGCATCACATTTTATGCAGCGTTCTGAATTCTATGAGGCTACTATGTAGTCTCTTAATTCAAACAAGCTAGATCTCTGGCCTGAACGAAGCAATTTATTCACTTGCGTTTTAGCAGATTTTGAATAATTTATTTCGACCCAATTGCTAATAACTTGTCGACCTCAGTGGGATTCGAACCCTGGGGAGGCGTGAGTACAGCCAACGTTCTAGCCACCTGCGCTACGAGGCCCCTCCGGGAGCCATGAGTTAAATCACATTTGGTTCAAAATACCCGCCTGGTCTACTGCAATGTCTGGGATCCACCAAATCTAACATAGTAAGCTGACTGCCAAAGCAGTGATCTGGGCCGTCTTAGGAGGCGACGCCGGTCGTTTGAAGTAGATGGGCTGTAATGGTAATGCTAACAAATGTCAATTTCTTCAGCCTCGTTAACCATTCCACAAGCCCTTAGCCAATTAACGGAGAATCGAAGAAACCTGACCAATTTCAGTCAGTACACCCGGGGCAGGCGCCAAATCTGTTTAAACAGCATGAATTTCAATTTGGTTTTTAGTGTCTGTGCTAAACTGATTTTTATGGAAAATGCCGAAGAGTGTTAACTGCTTACAACTGTCATGCAGGACATTACGCTCCACCGTGAGAATTTGAAAAACAGCATAATTTAGGAAACGTGCACTTTGTGTTGCCGCTCGGCCTGACGATGCAACACATCTCAACTATCATTCTCATTTTATGGGAACCTACTGTCCTGATGCTAATTGTTACAGGGAACATGATTTTATTTTCTTAAAATCACACACTACTTGAGATCACACCCCAAAGTGCAACTGACAGGAGTCGGTGGGATCTGAAAATCAGCACGACCTGAGAGTCTGTTTCAGAATTTCAGTTAAGGTTCCGCAAGCTTCAACACCTACCAACGCGGCACTCTCCAACACGACAGTCCGGCTACATCCATCGCGTGCCCCACGAAGTGGAAGCAGGACGGTGACTCAAGCATTAATTAGTCTGTTGTGCGGTGGAATTGTGCTGTAGCCACCGCATTTTCCTCTCTGCCTCTCTCTCTCCCTCATCCTCTCTCAACTCAATCTGCCCCGAGAGCAGGACCATTTCAAGACGGACGGATATAACTGCGGGCGCAATTGCGGGCAAGGCTTAGCAGTCCGTTCACCCCTGCCACACACACACAAGACATGGCACCCACAGCATAGGCCGGCTTCTCGTGAGTGCGGTTAGAAGCTCCCCTGCATGAGAGTGGCGTAAAGGCTACGTCGAGAGGGAAGAATTGCAGCTTGACTCCCAGTCCTGGGAAGGATCGAGTTTCTCCGTCCGTTGGCAGCCTTCCAAGCCACGGTTCATAACGTATCAGCTTTGTTATGGCGAGAAATGGGTTGATTTGCCGTGGAATGTTATTCGCCAATGTCGGCCCTACTCTTCCCTCTCCCATGCACCGTCCGGCTGTCGAAGTGTCTGAGTCGATCGGTTGCCGGATTGGACGCAGTGGCTGATAAGGCTCAACCTCCCGTCTACGCGTGCCACGCACGATCTGGTCCCAACGCATGTGCCAGTCCAAACCAAACGATTTGCTACTAGCCTTGGCATGATGCGCATGCTTGGTCATGCAGCGTGTCACCCACACATCCGCGGCGGCACAGTGCATAACGTGCTTACTGCAGAAGAGGTGCCTAGATTGTTATGGGAGGTGTCATGTATTCATTGCAAAGTATGCTCAAATGACTGAACGCCAAGACATTTGTAGATGAATGACATGCCGAGGCGGCTGTCATACGTAACCCATCTCATGAAATGTTGGCTGAAATTCTGAAATGCGTTTTCGAGTTGGAAGGATTACTTAGGCGCGGTTGTAATAATGACTGTCTTGTGGCATAATCCTATAATATTTCGGACTCGAAAAGATGTCAGCTTTTGAATACACTGCTTTCCACTCTACCGTAGAAACAGCGCTCGGAAAAAAATGGCTACTTAAGTAGCATGCAGTTTTCCCATCGATTTTCGATGGTCTTGCAAATTCAAATATATCTCATAGAAACCACAAACCAAAATACGCTTTCTTTCAGTCAATTAATAGAGAACCACGTCTGCTTTATATTCTATACTCAAGGAAGAAGTATAATTAGGTTTTAAAAAAGTTTTCTAACTGCCGAATAAGTTGGAGCCTGATCATTCGTTGCGTTAGCGCTTACCGATTTCAGTCTCCAGGGTGTATGCGATCCGCGTAAAGAAAATCACACTTTTCCATGCCTTTAAAAAGACATCATACGGAGTCCATAAAATTTTGCAATGGGTGTGAGGAGCTGTGGTAAAAGGCCAGGTACGATGTTATGTGAATAGACATTGCGCGGTCTTAAAAAATCTCATAATTAGAAACTTGTTTTAAAACCTGATTAAACTCCTTCCTTGAGCACAGAATATAAAGAAAACTGGATTCTCTATTAATTGACTGAAAGAAAGCGTATTTTGTATATGGTTTCTATGAGCTATATTTGAATTTGCAAGACCATCGGAAATCGATGGGAAAAATGCTTGCTACTTAAGTAGTCCTTTTTTCCGAGTGCTGTTTCTACGGGAGACTGAAAAGCAATGTATTCAAAAGCTGATATCTCTCCGAGTCCGAAATATTATAGGATTATGCCACAAGACAGTCATTATTACAACCGTGCCTAAGTAATCCTTCCTAATCGAAAATGCATTTCAGCCAACATTTAATGAGATCGGTCACTCACTGTAGCAGCTGGAAATGGGCATGGAGTCACAACTGTCCGGAGAGATCCATTGTGTACTTAGCTTTCCAGCGCAGAGCACGCATAAGTCAGACACGCGGATGGAAGAAATGATCCAGTCATTCGACTCTGCCAGATTTCCGCAGTTGAATAACAGACGTTGATACAGAAGGAAAATGTATGTTTACCGGCTGAAAGTATGCCCCGAAACCATCTCCGCAATGTGAGATACGTTTAATCAAATGCGCTCTATCAAAGTCATCAAGATACAAACTGATGCTCAATCTCCTTCCTGGTCCAGTTAAGCCGCTGGTCGCAGTCGTACCGGACACGTTTGAGATTGAAGGGGGGGGCGGTTTTCTTTTTAGGAAACTTCTACTAAGTGGATGTCCAGGCAATGGGTTAGAAGCATCTCGAAAAGGATTCCGATGGGAATTATTGAGAAAATCATAAAATATGGAGACGAAAGAAATAATCTGCCTTCTAACGAGCGCTGACTAATCGCCACAAATGAATGAAGACTGGTTATCTTTCCTCACTTGACAGACTACAAAGCGAAACTTTGCGCACTCTGCAGCTGAAAGTCAAACATATGCCAGTAGCTAACTCTGGATATCAATGCCAACCTGCGCGTAATTAGAGGGGCGTTTTTGTCAACTGCATATGTGCGGTTTGTAGAAAGTAAGGACCACTTAGCTTACGACTGAAAAGATGGGTGGAAAAAATATACTCATGGTTATTTATCTGTAGGTACATAGCGGTTGTCCGAGAATATCGTTTGAATGCAGCTATGAATAGGAGGTCTCCGACTGAGCACAGCAATCACAGCAACGCACGGCAATCAGCCGTCAGCAATATGAGTCTCGGAAGTTGTTCCTCCGAAATAGTGGCTTGAGTTACCGACATAGGAAGGAGAGTGGGTAGTTAAACGGATAATAGGCCCGAAACAGACTTATGATCGATAGCTTTCATTGAGGACTACATGCCCCCCGAATGTCGTCAAATAGTCTGTTATTCAGGAACACAGCATTTGATATTTATGCAAAAGGGAAATTGGTATATAAGTATTTATAGATTGAACTTCAACAATATACTGAAGAGAACGAGCAAAAAACGACAAAAGAGGAGACAAGATAGATAATGAGGTTTTTGGGCTGTTAATAGGAGGCATGTGAGCGATCAGCGATCTATCAACTTTCCTCCACATCCTGCGAATCAGCCGGCTCCTCATCATCTTCTCTTGCGGAAACGACAGGAGACGGTTTTGAAACATCACCGAAAGTTTCATCCTCTGCTGGTTCTACGGCGTCTGGTTGTGAATCGATAATATCATCGGGAATGGTGCTACTGGGTATAGGGTCAGCTAATCTTGATTCAGGTTCTGTGGCTTGTTGTTCAGTGTTATCATCATCATCGTTAGTTTGTTCTGAAATGATTTACACAATGTGGTTAAGCTAGTTGCTGAAATAAACGCGAAACAGTTGTAAGAACAAAGAACAATAAACGAACTAGATCTTACGCGGTAGTTCAACATTACTTAGCTGCAGTGGAAGCCTCCCCTGTCACGGAGTATCGAAGACGGAAAAGGAACGTGAGAACTCTCGGATTTAAAAAAGCTTACGCGATAAAGTTTTGGCGCAAAATAAGCAAGCGCATTTTGATTTTCTTCAGACCAGTCAAATTTTTCGTATCGTGTTTGCTAAACTCACAATCATAAACCTATCATTATGTAGTAGACACTTCACTATTAACTCAGTATGAAAGCAGCATTGACGCTTTCTATCTCCAAATACGTCTTAAAAATTGTCCGCAAAATATGATGACAAAGATATCCACAACGGGGTTGATGTCATGCAGAGCACTATTTTGCTCTTGTAGGATTTATGTGACTGACACTTTTACCTACCAAGCGTAATATCGGCCTCAGTGAGCATTTTAGGTTTCACGTCATCTTCCGTTATTTTTTCAATACTCTGACCCTTCCATCGAGAAATTGTAATATTGTCACCTTCATCATCAGGTCGTTTCTCTTCCGGTGCCTAGATAAAATACAAATACAAAGCGTACTTTATTACAGCACAAAAAGTAAATTCTACTAATCTAGCAACTAAGCAGTTTCGATACTACTCGATCTAAAAATGCTCAAGGGGCCCTAAGTGGCAATGTCAATCGCCGCGTCATGCGCATGACCCATTCCATACTAAGGAGGTCGGCAGTTTTTCTCGAGAAGATTCTGACTGCATGCCTGCTACTCAACTTTTCCTCAGCAACCCGAACTTGTTTCTACATTGACAATCCTAACAGGGCCTGATGTGCATCTACTGATGGAAACCTTAGGTCGTTGTCGTTGTGGATACGCACGCGTCTTCTTTCAGAAATGCCTGCGGTTTTTAACAGCGGACCGAAAACGAATTAAAATTTCGTCATTGGCTCAGGCTACCCTGCCGAAGGGCTCGCTGATTTGGAGGTTACGCCTGTTTCGGAACTTGGCTTACTCATTTAGTGATTAAAGGATAGTCAGTATGTTTTTTCACACATGCGTTTTGTAATTACTTGTTTACCATCTTACACGTTACTCCGGACTGAGTAAATTAAGGTTCAGAGTGGCCACTAGGTGGTTATGTATGCGGACGACAGCGTGTCCGGTCATTCTAAAAACAACATATCTGCAATGATTCATAGGCCGACTTCATAGATCATTGCGTTCATTTTTGAAAGAGGTCGCTTTATATGTAATTAGGGCACTTTTGATTAGTGAGACAATGTATGTGTTTGCGTATTTCACCGCTTCTTTCAAACGATTCGTCCAACGTTTAGCTACCTTGAAAAATGAGTTTCCAGATGAAAATACATAGACCTTCCTGGCTCCGGTAACTTTTCTTACTTCTAGCGATATGTCTTGCCAGTCTTCATCTTTCTCGCTTTTTAATAACGTACTGACCCTGTTTCTCACGGCCAAAACTTGAGATTTTTAAATACGGTTGACGATTATCGTACTCGTTCTTATTCCTCAATGGTTAGACGCAGTAAAGCCTTCGTTATTTTGATGACAGACCTGTTTCTCAATAATACGTTGTCATTTACTACTAAATTTATTAATTTGCAGACTAAAACTGAAAGATTAGATCAGTTTGCTCAATATCCACTGACTTCGAGTTTTCGTCGCAAATGTCTCTTAAACGCTATAGGTAAACATGACAGACATTGCCGTTCAAAATATATAAAAATTACTTGAGATGGTACGTTAAAACTCACCGCAGGGGTTAAAACGTATTCGCCAATTTGCTGGCAGTTGAGTTTGTCAAAAATATATTTGCCCTTTCCGAGGAGCTGTAGAACGGATATATTAGATTCATAAACAACTTTATAGGATGATTTAACGTGCATACAAACATAATGAACAAACACGGGAAAAGCAGAAGCTTCCACGATGGTCGACAATGGTACAATTATTAAAATAATAAGATTTCGCAAAGTAACTATATTGTTGACTGCGTCAGGATAACAACATTCGCTATTGGCTCACGGCCTTAATGCAGTGTACTTTACTTACTGCATTGGGGTCCAGAGATGCAGGTGCTGGCGTTTAGCGATTAATGATATGGCCTCGATCAAAACATCGTCGCCGCACTTCAGCTTGCGACACTAATTTACAACTTTTAAGATTTGACTTAAATCGAACGGTTTCTTCAACGATCCAGGAATAACGGCTTTGAAAATAATGTCGTCTCTACAGTGCTTTCGTACATAGTCAAAATTCCAATTTTCTATACGACATGTGCAAAACGTTTATAACGTGCATATCGGAAAATGCACACAACATTATGTGATAAACTTACTTTTCCATTCTTCCAAATGCCAACGAATCTATATTTTTCGTGTATTAATTCGCCCCAACCATCCATTTTCCCCTCCTTCCAGAGTCCAGAATAGACCAGTCCAGTGGCTGCAAATGTGTATTTCCCCTGCCCGTGTCGCAAATGGTTTCGCCATTCACCCTCGTACACATCGCCGTTTATGTAATAGTAGGTTCCCATGCCGTTCCTCTTGTCGTCAGCCCAATTTCCTTGACGGTGAATCATTAAAATGACAACTACCTTTGTAGACCGAACCATCCAAATAATAAAAGTCACCTGGGCCGTGTTTGCGATTATCGAGATAAAACCCGAAGTATCTCGCACCATTTTTAAATCTTTTTCCGTTTATAAAACAACCGGACTTACTTATAGAATCCTTTACCGTTTCTTAGACCATTGCAATAGTGTCCTTCATACGTATCGTGGTTTGGCAGTATTGCTTTGCCATCACCGTGTCGTTCATTTCTCTCATTTCTGCCGCCCTCGTATTCCTGCTCGTGTTTCTTTTAAAATATATTATTCTTGCCCCGAGGTACGGTCCTCCCTCCTCTTCCATACCTTCTTCATCGTCAGACATCCTGCCTTAGCACGCGACGACACTTTGCAAGATTGAAAGTGCTCGTGGGGACACGATACTATAACAACGGCCTTTGTGAGTCTGATGAACATAAACAAACCATCTGCGTCTTTAAGCTTTCAACCTGCGGATGGCACGTAGTAACTTCAATATTTGAAAATAAATCCTTGAAAAAGATTTGATAACTTACTTATTGTTGCAAACACCGGGCGTGAAATTTGCTGTTGCGCTTTCATTCGTTACCTATGTTATACAGAGACGGGTTGCAGTTGAAAAGCCGTCACGAAATTTATTGGCCCCAATAAATTCTGCTGTACATGCTTGTTTTCAATCACATATTCGTTAAGTCCCGAAGCTCTGCTTTCATTCGGTCTCCTGAATATTCGTGTCCCCATTATGTATTGACCTGTCATACAGCAGAATCTCAACATCAGGTGTAACCCGAGAAATTGACGTAATAAGCGTTACTATGGCCTTTTTGTATCACTTCACTTTTAAACACTATAGACTCCCGAGTTGTAGTAGGAATTAACGCATTAAACGATTTGTAACGCCACCTTCCCTATTGGATTTCTTCGACATTTCAAGGAAATAAAACTGCAGGCTGTGAGGAATTAATCCTCAAAAACGTATCGACGTGAACTCAGTTAAATCAGGGAATACCAATAAAGTGGATTACATAATCATGACGATGTCGGTAGTTCATATTACAGGAGAAGAAATCTATAGAGATGAGGGATATAGGAATGGCCAATGCTACCTGGAAGATAGCGGAAAAGAACTCATTGTCGGAGATCACTTGCCAAACACGTCGTTACACGCACGAAGATCGTTTTACCTCTGGAACACCGGGTTCGTTTTTCGGGTATTCCGTTGCAATAATAATAGATCACCAGCACAAATGGAAAAAAACTTTGACAGGTAACACCATTAGTACAACCGCATGTACAGAGAATGAGATTGAATGCCCTAAAGTTAGCAGACATCCCTTAACTACAACTTTTGAGTGGATGAGTCTGAAAAACGTTTCTCCTCTCACAAGGGTTTTGGTATTCTTTGTACAGCACATGTTTTACCAAGCGTTCCACCTCAACAATCAAGTAGGTTTCTGTCCTCAGAACAGGTTTCATATGTCAAGTTGAAAATGCTCGAAAGACATTTGTTGCACGCTGACCCTATTCTGGTACAATGACAGAAGTCTTTTCATTAAACCTCTCTGTCTGTGACTCATGTGTCTATCACTGCCCACATCTCAATGTAGTATTCGTAGCTCCAATCTTAGAGCTGACATAAAATCGGGCAACTTAAAATTTCTGTTAACTAAGCACATTTTATATCCTTGCTCCGCTAACAGGTCACGCGGTAAATGCGCTGAACCAACACAGAGGCTAGATCGGAGTCGGGCAGGCGTTATCGAGAATGTGCATCCATAAAAATGCCACCATTGGGGTATGGTAATAGGCCTAGTTGCAGGCGCCCGCTGTGTCAAACGGCATAAGTGCCGCCCCCTATTTTTATTATATCCTTTTCGGATATTGCAAATCCAGGGAACCCCAATGGGATCCCCGATTTCCGGCTATCTGGCTGAGGCGGTCATGCAGGAACTGGAAGCTCGAGTCTTTCAGCCCTACAAGCCGAAGTTCTGGATGCTCTAGGCAGACGACACTTTTGTCATCTTGCGCCGAGACACGAAAGACAACTTTAAAAGGGAATTGAACTCGGTCTTCCCACAAATTCAATTTACCATGGTGGAAGAAAAAGACGGAGTGCTTCCTTTCCTCGACGTTTAGGTAACGAGGCAAGAAGACGGAACACTCCAGACTGGTGTCTTTCGAAATGCGACAAACACGGAGAAAATTTTCCGCCACAATAGCAACCACCTTCTGTCGTATAAACGCAGCTGCGTCCGGACGCTTTTTCGCTTCATCAACACACACTGCAGCACAGAGGCCGAGAAGCTGCGGGAGCGTGAAACCCTACGGCAGCTCTTCCTTGCCAATGGAGATCCGCGCAGTTTTGTAAACAAATGCTTATACCAAAGGCATACCATGGCCGACCATGAGAACACAAAAGGACCTGAAATCTTACGCCTTCTGCCTTACGTGAGAAGCGTCTCTGAAGCCACTGAGCGCATGCTAAGGCCTCTAAGCGTGGGCGTTGGACACCGACCGGAGGCCACCATCCGCCACTTACTCATGCAACCCAAGAACCGGCTACCACTTGCAGACACGTCAGGCGTCATTTACCGCGTCAAATGTCTAGACTGTCCGGCCAACTACTACGGCATGACGGACAAACGTCTGCTCACGCGCGTGCATGAGCATGCCTTAGCGTAAAGCGAAAGGATGTACGCTCACACGTAGCCATGCACTGTCTAGATAAGAATCACGTGTTCGACTTTGACGGCGCCCAAGCGCTCGGCCGAGCCGAAAGCAAGCTGGCGAGAGAAGTAATCGAATCCTGGCAATCAGACGCCAACTCGATCAACCGCAGGATTGACTTACTAGCGCCATACGAGGTCATCAGGCACCACTTGCGCGCGAGAGGAGGGCCAATAAGAGGACTATGGGATCGACCTATCAGGCGCGAGCGCGAATGGCCTATTTAAACCATGTATTTCTCATTTGGCCTGTCTCCGAGGATGTGCTCGAGTATGAGTACGAAACGTCAGACGAATAAACTTTCTTCCCCAGCGATCGTCTCACCTTGCTCTTCCATCTTATTACCTGGGGTCAGAATTTTCACCTTTATCCATGTACATATATAGATATTTAATGGTTGGGGGCGCTCACCGATCGTTCATACGGAACTCACTCGTTCCGTTGTGCCTTAAGGGCTCTCTCTCGAGCCCAACCAGCAGCCGCACAGCGGCGCATGGTATATAGGCAGAATGGTTTTACAGACAAAATCAAGGGAGACTGGCATGGCTATTTCTGGCTTATTAGCCGTCGGGGATATCTACGATCTCAAGTAAGCAAACCTCTTGCCATCGCTTAGTTAAGTCCACTAGTTTAAGTCACGGGGACAAGGGAAATGTTATATGCGCTTATTTGAGTCACCCTATTTACGGCCACAATCTTGAAGTCTTAAACAAACTGCCTTCGTTACTGACGAATTTTCTGGAATGCCGCACTACCACAAAGAATAATTGGACTGAATATAACCAGAGAGGAAAACGTTAGGGCTGAATATCTGGCACTGAGCGCCTTATAGTGTAGTACTCCTTAAAGCCCAGTTAGTTTGCATGTCAATCCTCAGAATGTTATTGACAGATCAAACCAGAGCCCTGACCTCAACTCTTCTTTGGGGGTTTGGCCGGCTAAAGTAGTTTATTGATATCTATAGGCTTTAGTGGGTGAACTTTCAATGCCCCGGTGAATATACGGAACGAAGTCTGTTCCTCCAGCTTAAACCTCTTGCAAGATTTGAAGGAAATTTTCAACTTTTTTGCACATCCCAATTTTTTGAAATCCCTTTGAGTTCCCATAATGGAATAAGATGTTTCTCGTGAGTCTTATTTCGCAGGCAAGCGTGGAGCAGTGTGGTATCCCGCGCAGCTATTGGGGCAAAGTACTCCAAAAATAATGTCAATCGTTCGGAATTTGTCCGTATACCGTATTACAAACGCCTCCCATTCCGTAACTGTCTAAGTCCTTTTGCTCGCGGAGAGCTTCTGTCATAGTCTTATCTGCTGCTGACTCCCCTTTTCAGGCAGGTTCTAACCGTTTGAGGCCGACTGATTTGTTGGCCTTGACGTAGGACATCTGCCCTTCGCGGAATGAAGGAACAGTCCTGTGGACGACACCGAATGCTCACTGATGATTCGAGAGAAATGTGCGACCCAAAGTAGAAGAATGGTTTCGCTTCCATTGAACTAGCAGTTTCTTGCTATACGTTCGACACCAATTTTGCCAAGTTTTTTCTTTAGATACTAACTCTCCTGAACTTCGGCGGTCTCTTCCGTCTCTTTTGAATATTTTTCGTCCGATAATATTGCTTTACACTCACTAAATCGCTGGGATGGCCATGTAACCGTCACTACTGTAACAGCCGGGTATACGGGTTGCCCTTCAGTCTAGCTGGTTGGCAACTGACGCGTACGCAGGTGGTGGATAGTGCAACGGACTTCACCGAAGGCTAGCTGCGAAATAAGCAGACTCAGATCTGATGAATAAGCAGTCGCGGATCAGCAGCGACAGTGCTACCAGGGTGCGGAGGGCTGAGGGGTGGAAAACTGAAAGCCTCATAAAGAGAGCGCAAAGCCCGATGACGGCATCGTGATATGGCGACCTTAAACTGCCATTAAATACGCTTCCTTGCCACCGTTGCCTTGTCGTCAGGCTTTAAAGTCAAAGCGCTAGAGAAGATAGCCTCGAACAAACAAATCAAGCAACTGCTGGGGGTCTGCCCGTATCCGAAATTCCCAAAAAACCTCATTAAATATGTCTAACTATAGCATTACGACCCATGCTACGGCGTCCGCGGGAACCGATGCGTTCCGCAACCCTGGTCCAGTGGTGCAAGCGAATAGTATGCGAGCTGAATCACTCATTCGATGGCGGAGTCGTGGTATTGGATGCTGAAACTTGCGAACGTTCCTGGACCCTGGTACCCAAAGTCTGACCGCGCGCAGTCTTATTCAGTACAACGTAGATGTGTGCTATCTGTCCGAAGTTCGAACTACTGATCCAGTCTCTCGAGAAATAAAGACACCTGGAGTCACATCACATTTCAGCCTGTACCACAGCGGCCTGCGCAACTCATCTGGTAGACACGGTATGGCAATCGCCCTCTCACAACGAGTGAACCTCACGTTACTTGCTTGGGAATTAGTCAATGACCGCATGGCCTACGTTTGACCGAAGAATCACTTCACGAACATCTGTATCGTCTCTGCGTACGCACCAACTTCGGCTGCCGAGCAGCGCAGTTGCAGACATTAGTTGACAGACTCCCTCGTCGCTATCTGCTGATTGTCGCTGAGGGTGGAAATGATCCCG